TATATCTGGCATCTTCAGAAACTCAAGATTTTGACCAGCCGCCAATAAGGTTTGAAAGGCAACACACCGTTTGAGGAAACAATCTCGAAAGTGCTCACCGTAAGTTGGCGATACAAGGATATTAATTTGGGAGTACCAATTGAGGATAAGATATATGGGTGAACAACTTTTTTATTACAATTAGGAGCGACGTTTCGGTGTAGGTTCTAACACCGTTATGAAATTGCAAGCAAGTGATAAAGTGAGTGAGTGAGTGAGTGAGTTAAAGTTTTACGTCACATCGGCAGTATCTCAGCCATGTAGTGACGACAAGTGATAAAGTGTTAGAGCCTACACCGAAACGTCGCTCCTAATTGTAATAAAGAAGTTGTTCATCCATATATATTATCCTTACTTAGAACTCCAACTTCTAAATGCCTCTCAAAGAAGTTGTTTGGGGGGAAGTCGAAATATGTGGTAAAACAGCTCAGATCTGCGCTACTCCTACATCATGTAGACACGCAGGAATATAACAGATACTGTTCATATCGGCTTTAATCTAATAACTCCTCACTCACTCGCTCTGAGAGGTCTGTTACAAGTGCGCCTAATCAACATGTCACGTCAAGGTTTTTTTTACTTTGAATGATGAAGGAACCCGTATGGACCATGAATATATTCAAACGTGACGAGCAAGAAGAAGAATATACAACAAATGTGTTGTTTATTTAACCCATAAGTCAGGCAAAGATTCTCATGAAGATATCCCAGTACATTCTGCGACAACAACAAGTTGATCCATAGACTGACAACAGTTTATTAACGTCTCACTTCTGTACATACATAAAACAGCTGTGTACAACTTGACATAGATAGAATGTACAGAACCATTCAATAGACTTATGAGAGACAAATTATCATAAAATTTATACATAAATGATATAAAGATTCTATAGTGAAACGTTATCCATATAAAAGATGCTTTCTACGATTAAGAATTAAAAAGCAGACTTTGGCAAGTATACACACACTGGAGTCACTGAAAATTAAACAAAGTTTGTCGATATCAGGTATATCTAAAACATTATAAGATTTAGCAATACATTCATTGAAAAGAGTTGCCCTGATATCGTCATATACGCAGTGAAACAAAACATGGACCTCGTCTTCTACGCTGTCATTACAGTGAAAACATTTTCTATTGTGGACAGGTACACCTTCGTACCGACCAGTTTCCACTCGAATAGGAGCCACGCCACATCTAAACTTGGCTAGTGCCGATCTATAGTTTCTGGCCATCTGATTTGAAACATAGTATTCTGTCCCATATACTTGTTTGTAACATCGGTACATTCTCAATTTATTAAGCCCATTTCGCCCCTCTTCCTTTCTTAACATATCACTCCAACGGGTAACATATTCATTCATACACCATTGTTCCACCCGTGTCCAAACAGAAAATTTATCTATAAAACCTGTTGCGTTTAACAGATGTCCTCAATCCATATTAATAAACTTCTTTCTTACCCATAACTGGAAATACATGTTCGCCTCGAGGATGTTATTGATTTAACGACATTTAGAAATGTATCAGGACTTCGCGATGATTTTGAGTAACTCCCATAAGGCCACGTCATTTTGCAGAACTTGTCAAATATGGTTGGTGTTCGACCATGACATGAATGCCTACGTAATACATATACTACACACACAAAAATAACCCACTGATAACAACGCCCGATTCTTTCATATTACTACAGTTAATCTGTCATGCCATGAGATAAGCTATCATAAAATGAAAGAATCGGATGTTCTTAAGCTTCTTTTGAGTAGTATATATTAGAAATATCATCCATTAATACTCCCTTGATACAAATATTGATATAGTATGGATGAATACTGCAACAGGTTCTACCATACGGCGCGTGCAGATGATCTGTTTACGCTGGACCTATGCTCTTTATACTGACATAGCTATAGCCTGACATTTGTCACCTGCTTTCAAAACTAGTATTATTATGTCGGTCGCCTGTCATTGTGAACCAGTGCGGTGCATTCCAAAAGCCAACATGTATCTTTCAATCATTTCAGATGCAAGCAAAATTGTTTCAGTGCACCAGACAGCTACAACCTTGTCAAGTGTGAAACCTTCTTCATGTTATCACCCAACCCGTACCGAATACTGGAGATGACGTCATAAATCGTTGGGTAGTTATCGGAAGGTAGTGTGTATTCCCGGGTTCAGTTCCCTAATTGGATACAATGTATAAATCCGACATTTGATCATTGTTAATAATTCATGGGTTTGTATACAGTACGTTCCTCCATCGGATAGAACCCCGTGACGCTAGTTGCAATCGATTGATGGTTGATGTCGATGCCGTTGTACAGCTGGAACAGTTAACGGGGGAATAAAACCTCACTAACTCACGTTAAGGTTCGTCTGTCATACATACCCCCACGCATCAGTTATCGACACATTATGAAATACGTTCTGTACATAATGTATTAGTCTGTCATACAGACTTTGAAACAAATATATCTAAACAGCCCATGCAAGTCTATAATAGTGGACAAGTCTAAATTACTGCAGTATCTGAAAAAGATATTCTCAGGGCTCCTTTTTATAATATGTTTATTAAGATATTTTAACTGGTTATTTTCTGTAAGATATGTTCATTTCAGAGACTAGATGTTAGGCTAATAATGTATTACATATTTCAGATGATCTAGTTGCTGAACCACAGAAAGGTAACACAAGCATTGTGTATGAATACCCTGTAATACTTTATCCACACTGTCACGTACTGGCCTGGTTGTGTCTTGACGTAAACTAAACGCGTCATGTCAGATTGGGTTTAAGTCTCACCTACTTCAGTCAGTCACAAACACTGCGAGGCAATATGCGACTATCCCCGCCAGAATGCTTGGTTTATTGACTAACCATGCAGAACTCAGTCTCCCTCTCTCACAAGGTAATAGGTCAAGCATTGCTGCACATCCTAGTACTTCTGAACGATTGTCTGTTCAAGCGGATAAACTTTGAACTATGGTTACCCTACAGAAGCATTTATTATCTAAACCATTTCGAATTATATTACATGTATTAGAGACTTTCATAAATATATAAATTCTAGTTAAATTATATACAAGATGGTATAGTAGTTAATAAATCCGAAAGAGATTTTTTTCAATTGAATGTATATGAATCGATACGTATGAAAACACCTGTGGAAGTCGCCATGACAGGCGGATAAAACCGACTGCAGTAGGGAATGCACTAGCGCAGGGAATAATGACCTGTGTCCCTGATGTGGAATTGCCTGTCCTAGTTCTATATGTAATATTTGTTGTAAGCGACCCAGCTCACCCTCAATCACCGCCAGTACTAATGTAAACAAACTGTTTCTGTTAAGCAAACTGCCTTGTTGCTATCAACACTGGTTACATTTCATTATGGACACCCCTAAACCTGCAGAAATATCTTCACAATCATTAGTTTATTGTTTTGTAATCGATTCTGTAATGAGTCCTCGGAGTTCATATTTGAATATTTTATCGCGCTTTCTATTGTCATGGGTTAGTTTTGTTGCGGGATGAAACGCATGCTCGACGAGAATACTGACTGTTGTCCGATCTAGCCCAGCCTAAACAAGACAAACACAACTGTGTATTGACTTCAATTCAGACATTGAAGAATACCACAACAGAGTTGCGTTAATACTTACTTTTATGTCTACCGGACAAAAGGGGAGTCAATAACTCCCGTTATTGATTCTTGATGTCGAATAAATAATCACATTGAAGTTTGAACAGGACGCACCACGTTCGTCTCACAGTTAGGTGTGCCTCGACTCGCCTTCATTTTCGCACCTGACAAAACGCTAGTGATCTACGGCGGTGTCACTCTGACATCACAGCGCCTGATTGCTGTTTACCTGAGCGCTGAGAAGGGGGAGGTTAGGGGGGTTACTGATTATTACCGTTAGAAGTGACACGCAATACATATATCTCGCAGTCAACCGAGACCCATGATCAGCTATAGGTATAGCTTAAGGCGTTTTCAGCCTGCATAAGTACTATTGGTATATATTTATCATGATTAGCTCTAATCTGTAGCGTGTTAATGTCACAGACAAAACTGAAGCCAAGGTAGAAAGGTGAATACACATCATCAAGGCTTGCTCCCACACCAAAACGCTTACAAAACAGAAACAATCTTAATGATAAGAAGAAAAGAAATTTACTACAATTATTGAACAGTTAATTGCCAAATAACTACTGATAAAGAGGGTTCTTATTCGCCCTCAGCAACATAACAATTATACTGATAATGATCATGAGGTTTAAAGTTTGGCCAGATTTTCAGAAAATATATCAACTAAATATTCTTGAGAACGCAGGATCGCAATAACACTTTTTCTAGGCCTTTATGTGACCTCTCTCATCCCGTGTTGCAGTGACATAAGATGTAGACGTGCTCAAACGACAATCCCATATATTTAAGTCATGGAAGTCGTTTTGACATTGGATGGTGCACACATCCTGTATATACGTGTTACAATACCTTCCACAATAATAGTCAGTGTAACTTTCTACTCAGTCGACAATGTTGCCTCTGGGGTATTGAATATAGTATAATACCCACCCAAAATACAACCCCTCTCTCGACATGATCAACCTACAAATATTACCATCACAACATTTGTTTGGGTGTATATATCATATAGATATACGGGTATACACTATAACAATCTAGCGACCATTTATCTACATGGACTTTGAGACCAGCAGTTGATCCTTGCAATATTATTAACTCACCTTGGCGAGGGTTCAAAACATATAAGTCCGCCATCTTGCTTCACATAACGCAGTGGTCACAAATAAGTTTCTAAAACTTTTATTTAAACCTTGAGGCTCAGTAAAAGTGGTCAAACTAGACTTATGAACCGTTTGATATATAGTCTCTGTTGATTTGTAAAATTTGTGTACATCTTTGGAAAGGTAACACGAACACTTACCGTTACAGACGGGTGAGTGAGAGTCGACTGCCAGTTAATTTGTCGTCTGCTTTCCTCGTGACGTCACAGATCGCGCGGACCTCCAGGCAGATAATAGCCTCTCTTTGTTTTACAAATCAATGCGGATCGTGGCTGGAGAGTCGAAGATTCTTGCACGTTATATTGCCCATTGGTAACTCACCGTGTCAACACAGCGATTCGGAGCTTGCATTCAGAGGCGTTTATCTCGGACAGGTGCACTCCGGAGGTGAGGCCGAGGGCAGTCCAAGCTCCGCACAGCGTTTGTGTCCTGCATAGCTGCGCGTGTTGACACAAACCCTGTCCGCACACATTTGTGGCCCCACCCCCACGCAGTGTGTTCCCGGACTCAAAGCAGCTGGCGGGTGGGTGTTACCTACGAGTGAGTTTGATTACCCTGTTAATATTTTCATTTCTTAAACAAATCGTGGAGTAATATAAGGAAATGATAGTTTGCAGCGTGCCTCAAATGGATGGCTGATCGCCTCCGTCTCCTAGTGACAGATCGTCCGTCCGAAGACGGAAGGTCCGGGGTTCGATCCACGGCCGCTTCATACCAAGAGACGTCAAAATATGGTACTTGTTGTTATTCTGTCTGGCACTCGGCATTAAATGGCTAAAACAAGAACTGGACGGTTCGGAGTCAGTATACTGTGTGTCAGTGGGGTATTCATGTCAAACTCCGGCATGGTATTCAGTGGACTGGCACTATAATATCGGCAATAGCCCGGACTCGCACACACACACACACACTCACTCACCACACACACACACACACACACACACACACACACACACACACCTGCACGTCGCTATATAAGTGCAATAATCTTGGACGCGACGTTAAACCCAATGTCACCTCACCTCACCCAATGGGTGTCTCTTCCTGGGTTTGTCATGACGTTCACATATGTATATGTAAGGAAGCAAAAGTGTAGGCTGGGACATATTTTATTACGTCAAAAGATATGGTTGGGCGGGCGGTCTGAAACAAGAAAACTAAGTGCGAAAAAAAACCATACTAACCAGCAGCATGCAATTATTTTAAGAATTGACGTGAAGCTTCACATGGAAATGACATCATATTTCAAAGGCCCAATAGACTTTGTTTTTGTGTTCCGTAGTTATATTTTGATATTAAACTAGTTTGAGACCGAATCGTCGTTATATCAAGCTGATTTTGTATTTGCTTTTTGGACTCGGGTAAAACACGATGTACAAAATGCGATGAAAATAACACGTGTATTATGACAATCTTATCACACTACTATCAAGAGGTACATTGTTCAATATCTGGAGCCGTGAAGATCCGGGGTAGAATAGGTCTTCAGCAACCCATGCTTGCAGTAAAAGGCGACAATGCTTTTCGTAAGAGGCGACTAACTGGATCGGGTGGTCAGGCTCGCTGACTTGGTTGTTGTATGTCATCGTATCCCAATTGCGTGGATCGATGCTCATAATGTCAGTCACTGGATTGTCTGGTCAAGACTCGCCGTCATATAGTTGAAATAGTGAGGCGTTAACCAACAAATAAACAAACAAGCAAACAAAACAATATCTGACTTCTTACCGGGGTAAGTTTCAAGAATCTCTATGGTGTGTAGAGACTACATTTTCGGACATGACTTTTCACGAACGTTTCGAAATTTATCATTTGACAGAAAAATCAGAAAGTGACTTTAATCTATCTATATTTAGGGACGGGATTATATATGTTTATATATGACGAAAGTTGGCACAGTAAACATATACACCAATACTTGAGACAGTCGAGTATGGACCAATCGAGACAATCAAGTATAGGCCAATGTTTGTTGCCAACAGCTGACGTCGACCCTATGCCAAGGAGGGTAGACATGATCCTTAAATATCCTGGATATGATATCATTATAGTATCTTATATAAATAGAATAGAGATATAATACCCTGGATTAACGAGGATGACAGTTTATCTGCATGAGGTATGAAACATGGCTGTAGCGATACCTATTAGATAGCCCTGGTGTACGACAAAGATGTATCGCTGTGAAATATGACCCTGTATTCTGACATATGAGTTTAATGTGGTTGCGTGGCGAGGGCCCGCGTCTCACAGGGAGCAATAAGCTTAATGCCGTTACCTACATGCTAGGCATGCAACTACAGCACAAGACATGGCGTCACTGATGATACAGTCTTTACTTATAGTTACGTGGTCACTTCCGTATGAAGGCAGAGAAATATATGTATTCTATGTGAGTGTATCAATGTTTCTGTGGAAATATGTTTCTTTGTTTGTTGTTACGCTGTACTCAGCAATATTCCAGGTACATATATATGACGGCGGTCTTTAAATACTCGAGTCTGGACCAGACAATCCTGTGATTGACATCATGAGCATCGATTTACGCAATTGGGATCAACATCAACCAAGTCAGCGAGCCTGACCACCTGATCTCGTAAGTCGCCTCTTACGACAAGCATAGTCGTTCTTTACGGCAAGCGTGGGTTGCTGAAGACCTATTCTACACCGGATCTTCAAGGGTACTGTGGAAATATGATGTTTTCATATTATTTTTTTCCCACGAATGTTGACTTACGGCAATTATTGAAGTTATCAGTATGTTAACTTCCATAAAATAAATAACGCGACAAAATCCTTTCCATATCAAACAGAAATATCTGCATAAAGCAGAGTCGATCAAACACATCGCAATCGTGTGTTTTTAAATGGCGTAAACTATTTCTTAAGAACTTATGTACAGCACACGTGTTGTGTAGGTCCTCTCAAGCCGATCTATTCAATGTCTAATATTAGTTCATACCACGGGATCACAACTCACTCCTACCGCTCTCTTTGTTCCCCGTGGGGACCCGGGATAGAATGCGTCCCCAGCACTCCATTGCATATTGCGAATCGTAAGCGGCGACTAACTTGACAATCCGAAGGGACTCCTCCCCAGCAACGTATGCTATTCGTAATAGATGTTCGTCATCAGACTCAGTGACTTGGATGATGGCGTGTCTACGTACCCCGTCGGCGTGGTATCAATCACTGGATTGTCTGGTCCACACTCGATAATTTATAGACCGCCGCCATATAGCTGGAATAATCCTGAGTGCGGCGTTAAACAACAAACTCTGCGGCAGAGTGGAGCATGATGCGTTCGTATAATATACTGTGAGTCACCTGTTCAGTGATGCACTCCATACGGCGGCACTGCATTGTGCTTGGGACAGCCTTGCTCCAATAATTTACTGAATGATTAGCCCATGGGTGTATAGAATTTTCAACAATTTAATAAGCAAGTCTGGATATGCGGACAGTCAAAGGACGCCAGTCTCGTATTGGGACAACTTGTTCTTATTATTAATATAATCTAGAATTTTTTTATTTTAAGTCATAATTTTTGCCTTAGAGACGCATGCAAGTCTATGCTTGGGACGACATGACTGGTCTCAAAATTAGCGTCAGGCGCGGTCAAAAGAAACGATATCTCATGAACAGCTACTTGTACCACAGCAATTTTATCGGATACATTTACACACTTTGAAATCATCTCATAGACCCATACAACAGCATTATTATTTGATTCCATCATAATATAGAGGCACTGTAAGATACACCAATAGCATTATAGAGAATAATCCTACTACAGCAACATTATATTATATTATACAATTATACTTCAGCAATATCATATTATAAATTTTTAATGCAGAAATATCACAAATACAAGCTATATTAAGTATTATACACATTATAGCAATATGTTATTATGCATTTATTATAATGCAATATATAAAACAATCAAACTACAGCAACATTATAATTATCAAATAAATAACCACCAGTTCGTTAATTGTTTGGATGGACATGAAGACAACTGCTTTCTTATTTAGACTCAGGAACAAATCTGGCGAAAGTGTTATATAACTGCTCATGACATAACATTTATTTTATCAAACTTTTACGTGTGATTCCTCAGACGCCTCTGATCTTGGTATAAAGCCATTGCTGTGTTATCAACTCCTCCTTCTCAATACCGCCATTGAGTTTTACCATGAAGCAAAGCGTCAACAGACTACATATTTCCAAACCTGTGTAGAGAGCAATGTTTGGAGAGCGTCCTACCCTGGAGTGGGCGCCCTGCAGCTCCGCACACCATATTAAATGCCTGGTTTGAGACACAATTGCCGGATTGTTCATCTTCACACAGCTAGGAATGTGTGTTCCCTGCTGGTGAAGACGTGCTCTATCTCGCAAGGAGATAACGAGATGGGAGGAATTAATATTAATAATGCTGCTGTATGTATGTGAGTGAGTGAGTGGGTCGTATAACTGCCGCTTTTAGCAATATTCCAGCAATATATCCTCCTCGGTTAGTATTGCTTTGTTCGGTCCATCAAAACAGATATTATCCAAACATATAAAATAGCTACGCGACAAATCGGAAAGAACAATGAAGAACGGAATGTGGTTAATTTCACGATCAAACATTGTTCCATCATGACGTCATTTCTGGAGATTTGAATGTAGGCTCGCAACTTGATGACGTCATATTTTGAACGACGTTATTTTTGAGAGGGAAGTGTCCATTGAGTTGTTCCCCAAGATGTATCTGGGCTACGCAGATAAACGCAGTGGCCGAACGGTCGCATAAAAACGTGGGAGAGATATGACAATCGGTATTAGGAGAAAAGGTACGGATAATCGACGTGAAGATTGTGAGAAAATGCGGTAACTTAACCCACCTGTTCGTAAAATGAACTTGTCCGACATTTCCGAGGTCGTATTCTATTCAGGGAGTCATCATTTTTTTTAAAATGGGAAAATATTTTTAAAGCCTGTACATTTTATCAACATGCTTAAAGAGGTTTACATAATGTTATCTCATATGAGAAATATACGACGAGTGGTCGTTGTTTATCGTACAATAAACACTGTTCTATTGTACGAAAGAACCCGAATAATCGTCATTTATTTCTTAAAAAATGTCTATAATTGCATCGTGTCTTGACCAGCGTGTCCAGCGATGATCCACACCATCGGGCCACGATGACCCAGTCTGCCAGGACACAGTCTAACCATCCGATGAGAACAGTCGGGTGCTGGGGACCTATTCTACCCAGGCATCTGATGAGTTCTAAGAAGTGATAGTGGATTTACTCTTGTTTGATTTTAAATGGCAAAGTGTTATCATGATATGGCTGATATGAGTAAGAAATACCGAGTATGTTGTATGGGTCACAAGTCCACGAATGGCATACATACATGTATAAGCCTGGCACTA